CACACACACACACACACACACACACACAGAGAGAGAGAGAGAAACACTTGCAAATATAGACAAAACGTGTGAGGTTTTACTATCGCAGCATACACGTAATGTCCATGGCATGTGACCAAGTCACGATTACCCTTCTACCTCACTGCTCAGGTAATCCTTTCAGCCACTATCCACAGTATATATACCTTTCGTTGTCCGCACTTCTCCGCCACTTTCCCTTTCCTTACAGTGTACTCATCATCTATCCTCAGGATCTCCTCTAGTCGTACTCTTTGTCGTCCTTGTCGTTGTCGATTTCCCACATGTTTTCAATCTGGAGCTGCCTCCATCATATTTAATGATTTCGTGCGTGCTCTCCCGTATTTTTTTCTCGTCGAAGTCCCGTCTCACCCTAGTCTATACTTAAAAGTTATAACTCCACTGTCTTTTGTATTGACTTGTATCCAGTCTTTGTTTGTTGTTGTGTTCATGTTCTTTTTTATTTTTTATTTTTTTTATTTTTATTTTTATTTTTATTTTTATTTTTACAGCCGTGGATTTCTTCTTTCTCTCCAGGTGAGTTTGTTTTTTCTTTTCCGTTGATCGGTTTGTTTCCCATGCTTTTGGTTTTTTACCTGCTTCGTATGTCGAGAAATGCAGGCGACATTTTTATGTCATTATATCTGTATAGTTTTCGTACCACTTTGGAGTACTTTGACGTGTATGTTTTTTTGTTCCTGAGAACATTTTATGTTTCGTTTGGAATTATACGTTTGTTTTGAATTTGCCTTTATATCTCAAGTCGCTCGAATTTATTCGCCGGATTTTCTTTCGGACTTTCGGTTTTATATCCATCGCATGGTGTTTCTTGTTCTTCCAGGTACTCCCAGAATTTATTCCGGACGTCCGCGTCCCTGCAGTTTCTGATAAATGCAAGTATCGCAGACCGGGTTATCCTCCAAGGGTAATCCATGAGTCGGAGTTCCCTTCCGAACATATCAATTACGGATGGGAGATCAGTCGTCTCGTATGCGTTTGCTACCATTCGATGAAACGTACCGATAATCGTTAAGACCTTGGTTCTCTCGGAACCGGCACTCCTGAAGTGACGCAACGTACTGAGAGAGAGAGAGAGAGAGAGAGAGAGAGAGAGAGAG